TATTAGATAGAAACGGAGACACGAACACTTTTTACTTGAATCCCAGGATTTATGATAGAATGAGGGTTAGACCGTTTTCAAAAGATAGTCGATTCATCTAATCTCCTCAATGTTAGCTCTAATTAATGTCACGCTTCGTGCTCATATGCCCAGATGCGGATCAACTGAAGTCTTTCTGGTACTGTGCAATCGCAATGATAAGTCTCCCTATACTAAAAAGTGAAGATCATTAAAGTCCTCTGACAGATGTTTCTGTCCTGCTCTGATTGAAATGGGCCACGCATACGCATATTCACTAACAGGTTCACATAATGAAAGATGGTTTTATTAAGAAAATAACCAGATTTTTGCCTATTTTGGCCGGTGCATAAGTGTATGTAGCAAGACAAAGTGACAGTTTAGTCTTCCTAGCTAGTAATTAACTCAAGATTGTGAAAATAATCCATCTTAGATTTGAGAGATAAAAGCTTTGCACAATTTCATTGGAACAGAAGAAAGACTGTTCCATTACTGTACCAACCAGTAAACCAAACAGAAACAAGACCAACATCTTTTCACAAACTTTCTTTCAAAATGAAAGACAATTCTACTCCGATATATCGATAGGTCTCTCGAAAACCAGTATTTCTTCCTTAATTCATACAACTTATAGTTGTATGAGATATATTATTCACCTTATTTCATTTAGCGTAGTAGGGGAGGTGGTAGTTGTATTTTCACACAATACAATGAGTAGATCTTACTTTTTCATTTAAGTTCACAGCCACACTGCCCTAAAAGGTATTCTCTTCAAGGCTGGAGTTAACTGCAGTTTTGGTCTTGATTAAGTCAGCACCCCCAATGGGGCTCGAACCATGATATTGCAATATATAATCTCGACACATTAACACTTACGCCACGAGTGTCATTGGTTTACAGGGCAGATACGAATTTCAAGCAAGGCCAGGTAATTTCCCATACCACATTCTGTGGCGAAATTATCAATGAAGCAAAATTGTAATTGCTGTAGCACTCTACTAGATTACTTATTTTTAGATACGAAGAAATGAAGGTCCCTCTACTTATTTTTAGTTTTTATGAGCAGGTTTTAGAGACTACCAGTAGATCGTATCTAGAAGATATATTTATCCTGTTTTATTTAAGGTGATATGAGGAATAATTTTCGAATTTTCCTCGCGAGGTTGAAACTGCAGTCCACCCTAAATGAAAATACCTTTTGGGAAAGCAAGACTATGTTAAATTCAATAGAACGTGAGGTCTATTCATATCATCCTGGGAGAATTCAACTTCCAGTCCCTTTATCAACTTAAACGAATTAGGATCATATATATGGTCTGCTGGTAGTTTCGAAAACCCGAATAGAAGAGCGTTCAGTTAATTTGCAAATCGAGCTCTTTTAGTGTCATGTGAAAGTCGTCCTTTTTCTCAGATTTCTGGATAACATCTAAGTTAGGCTCAGTTCGGAGGTTAGCACTTCGACAAAGCAGCTCTTCCAACGATCCAGTGAGCCAAATATCCTGGAAGCTCGTCTACTCCTACCCGGAAGGGAAGGACTTCAGGAGAATTGTATTCGTATCGTCTGGACGATTTGCTATTGACTCAAAATGTCTATCCAAACGCTAGAGGATCATTCGCCTGCCCAAAAGACTTCCATTCTCGACCAAACTAGGGTCCACATTGGCAATGCCGTGAATTACGTAGAAACGGAATATGCATCTGACATTCTGGCAAAGCAGTGGCACAGTAAAGCCGACTGGCAGGGCAGCTTGTTGGGGAAAGTTGGAGAGGAGATATGCATGATTACATGACCAAGCAGCAGATAGCCAGGTCCGCAAGGCTGGTCTGAGAGGATACCGAAGAACTGTACGGGCGGAGCGGTTCAGACTGTAGAGGAGAGGGAAGGTGGGAGGTAGGAGGGGAGAGGGAAAGGGGTCATAGTTGGTGCCGGCAGCAAGTAGACAAGTGAAAAAGGATCCTATCTTGGCAGGCACTCCAGAAGAAGCAGCCCTACTGTGGGTGGAGCAGACGAGCTTGGACGAGGCCAGGAGCCTCAGAAGCAGTGAGGTTGTAAACGGCAGAAGGACTGGTGGCATCGTCTTCTCGAGGGGAAGAAGCTTGGCGAGGCGGTAGTGTGGCTTGCTGAAAAGCCCATGGGAAGAGGACTGGCCCAAAGGGAAGGGCGACCTTCTTGGGCGAGACTGGCTCATCTACCTCAAGTGGTTTAAGTAGCCAGTTGGGCAAGCAGCCATTTCAGCCAAGTGGCAAGCCGAATTCACTTGCCGTGCTCTGCATTAACGCGCTATCTCCATCCATCAATTGCTCGTCCCACCTCCGCCAAATCTATTCAGCCACCCACCCGCCTGTATCTACGTCTGTCAGTATACCTGACTGTCTGTATGCCCCTCTGTACTTTTCTCCGTATTTCCAT